TTTTAATATCCGTACGAAATTCAGTTCGTGTATTCTACGAATTAAATGTAATGTTGACATTTTACCTAATGACATGCAATAGGAATGTTTCGCAGATCAAACGAAATAATTGTTTTATCTACGAAACCCGTTTTTACGAAATGAGCAAAAGAGAGTTAACGAATTAAAAATTTCAGTGTGTTCTCACCAATACAGCGATGATGACATATTTTTACTCTCAGGTCGAATTACATTGCTAGTTGGATCATCCGAGAGGCGACAATTTACCAAGTGTGCCTGACCGCACATAACATATGTGGAACTCGATTAACAAAAATCGACCCCATTTCAGTAATTTCAAGCGGTATAGTAGGTCATCGATCTGTAAAATTGATTATACCAACTGTAAAATGAGAAAGGGGATCAAGGGGGTAGTCGATTCTATTTAAATAATTATACCCTTATGTCTTTATTTTCCCTTAACTATTTATGTACTTTATTTATAACTATATTAACAAACAAACGTTTGCATAAAAAAGTAGATAATTTTTGCCATTTTTTATGCAATGACCTGCCACCCAACGATTAATCCTGGAATGCCATTGTAAGTTACCATATGTTAACTGTATACAGTCTTGTAACTCTAAGTTTGACCGGGTATATTTACAATTTTATTTCTGTAAACTTAAAATGTATGAACCATTATTTTCGGAAAAATTCGACCCCGCAAATTAGGAGTTAACTGCACAAAAAGCAGCAAAATTTTGCGGTTTATGCGGAACATATACTGACCATCGATCCATTCACAAGAACTTTGACCTGTAATACTCAAGCATTCAACCCTCGATACGTTTCTCAACTTCGGCCAAATGAACATTTTTGCTCAAATCCCAACACAAAGATCTACTTCAATTACTTTGTACTAAAAAACGTGAAAAAGTTGATCGAAAAGTCAAAAGGCGATCTTAACAAGCTTTTTACGACCACTATAACTGAGGTCCCAGTCTGAGACTTCCAGATAGCAGTTTCAAAGTTACTAGGACAGGATAGGGGACCAACAACTGGAACACTTACCCTAGTTTTATTTCTAGCATTTAAAAAAAATCAACTTTTTTTTAATACAAACGTTAACATCCATCAACAGAATATTTCGTAATGTAATCATAACGGTTATAAGTAGAATTACTAAAAGAACAGTGAACAATTTTCCAACATACAACAATCGTTGAATATTCAAATTGGTTGCAGTAAATTACATTCAATTAACGTAATTTCCGTAATGAATGCAATGGCATTCAACCAGGTCGAAGAGGCGAAGAAATATTACATATGTAAATAGGCAATATTACTAGTTAATAGCTCTCTTGATTGGCTTTTCATCGACTTGAAAATACTAGTTAAGAAATGCTTTGATAAGCCCCCCGTAGAGCTAGTCGAAAACAGAATGGCCGCATTACCATGACACTCCGCCACTCTGAAACTATTTACTCTTATGGTAAAATCCCATCAGCAAACGTCAATCTGTGCGTGAAACATTGTGGACATTTCCTTACCCAAGTAGCATTGCAAGTATTATCGTGGTTTTATAGCTTTATTCAAGTCTAAATAATGGTCTTCAGAACCCTCATAAAACCCAAATTGTTACATTGGTACCCTTCCACTCCTATGAAAATCCCATAAGATGCTGTCAATCTATGCGTGAAAAGACAACGGCTCGCTGGTATCATGGTGAAGTGAAGAGAAAAGACAAAGTCCGCTAGACTTCATGTACAGATTGTCCGATGCTTATGGGATTTTACCATAGGATTAAAGAGCTGTAGAGTCGTCGTCAATGTCAATGCCTACTGAGCATGCAACAATATATCTGCTTTTCTTTCATAAGAACCAATGTGCAAACGTTTAACAATTACTTTTTCCACGAATTTCTCGATAATGAAAAACCACTTAAGTAAACCACCACGATGATTGTGTAGAGGGAGAGTCCCCCTTTTCGATAGAATTGGTGGCTTACATGGATTGAGTTTGAACTACGAGAAATTCATGAAAGAAGCAGTTGTTTACGTTTTCGACATTGGTCCTTATGAACGCTCAGTGTCGTTATCACGAAATCATATCATATCATTATCATTATCAGTTATATCACAACAACAACACAAAGAAGGGATCATCTTTTAGTCAGTTAATTAGCATGAAGTTCCACATATGTTATGTGCTGACCGTTATGCGACAACGGTGGTGAGTAGAACGTCCATTAAACGGCGACGATGCTGGGGCCGCTCGTGAAATAATGATGGCGGTGTTACTTCGACAAAGCTGATACTATCCGTCGATTGGCGATGACTATGGGACCGACTGTGGAATGGCTACACCGGAGGAGCCGATCGGGAAACAGCGACGACGATGTTGATGACCATGGAAAGGCGACCACTATTGGTACACTTGTATAATAGCGTCAATGCGGTAGTGGTTACACGAACACGTGTTTGTCTCGAGCCGTTTTACCATCAAGAAAATGGTGGTCCTCGGGCCACTCGTCGCTAGTCCCCCTGTCCTCGAATGACCTCCCGCTGAGGAAGAGAATAACGGACTTTGTCCGAAACAAAGAGAAAAAGGTCCCGTAGAATGGACCTACCCACCCATGGACACGTCACTTAATTTAATCTTTTACAAACGTTATGAAAATATACAATTACCTTTTTCTTACTGAACACTGTTATAACTTCTAATTTTTTTCAGGTACTGAATTATTTCTGATCATTCAAACCTTTTCCTAATGGAACGAGAAACAATTTTATTTTAACCTAAATGTTCATAATTTTAATTCTGCCAGCATTGGCTCTACCTTAACGTACTATCGGCAACACAACGTTATGCACGAGTTATTACTATCCTCAGCCTACAGTTCCACTAAATATATGTTCACTGAAAGAAGAGCAAACGTTAATCTATCTTACACCACATGCAGAATTATATACAATTTTTAATTTGAATAGCCGCGCGCACTACAACTCCCTACGGAGGTCTTGGGCAGATTCAATCGAACATCTAGATTGCCGAGCATAGTAACCAGAACCCAAACAGTTGCCGCTTCCGTGGCATCATCTTTGATTTCGCTTTTTTCTGCAGTGAAGCGAAGCGGCGCAGTGTGTTTTCGATGGTTCAAACCAGTGTTGGAAAAGTTCGCGTTATTTCACGAACTTCACCAAGGGAAAAGTTCGTGAGCCATAGTGATTTTTCGCGAACTTTTCCATCACCGGTTCAAACCATGGTGGATATATACATGGTGATACAGCTTTGGAACTATATAGGCGAGGAGGTCACGGGGGGTGGGGGTGAGGAGGGGGGAATTGCGGGTTTAGAGCAAATTGTAAACAAAGTCGGTCTCTGTCCCATACAAAAATCCAACATGGCTGAATCATGCATTTGACACATTAGAACACCTATGTGTAGTCACCTTGGTTCAAACCGCTGCAAACCAAGTGGCTCTCACATAATGGTGAGATTGTGCTAATAGGGTTGTGTAGAGCGCTGTATAAACTGACTAATTATTTACATAAATGGTGACAGAGTCACCTCAAAATATTCACTGTAACCATCGGTTACATGGCTGTGCCCTGCAACAATGATTGGCATCCTTTACATGCATACACTACATACATACCGATACCAGGAAAAAAGCACTTCAAAGGATTCAGCACCAATATCTGAAGATGTTTTTGAAGTTGCCTCCCTGGTTCAGTACTACCGAGGTATATAGAATATCGAATGTTGAGACTTTAGAACACATGTCTAACAAAAAAATTAATAATTTCAGGCTAAACTCGTTACAATCTTCAATTGCAATGATTACTTCCCTTCATACTTAGATAAGATTTAGTGTTAGTGTTTGTTTTTAAGATGTCAATTGTTATACTGACATGCTGGTTTAGAAAACCTATTTTAGATACTGAATTGCTAAAGCAGGAACAATGTAAATACACTTAGCTATATATCATAACAATTAAGGCTGGTAAGCTACTGTAGTAGTGAAATGTACTTTATTTTGAATTTAGAACAAATAAAAAAAAAAAAAAACTTTTTCATTTTGCTCGAGCGTAACAGCGAAGATTTTCAAAACATGATTTAAGTTCATCTGTCGTTAAACTAACGATTATTGTTTATTTGTTTTGTTTAACACATTTTAGGTAATTCGTGACTAGCCCGAGGTGACATTTGAGCTCAAATCTTTCAGCGTGAGAAGCATGGATGCTAGCCATTTACGACAGGCCCGTATTCAGTCTAACATTATGAATGCAAAATCAGAAAGCAGAATTAGTTTTCCGTTTGATGCAACAGTGTAAAATGTTGATCTCATTTTTGCTGTGTTAACCGTTAAGTCAACCAAAATGAGATCAAATGGAGTATTCAAAATATTACAAATGTTACATCATAACAGCAAATTCTGATTTCAATTCTCTGAAATTTCAATAACTTTGCTCGGGTGTTCCATGCATTTTCCCAAACAAACTTTAAACTTCTTCCGAAAGTTCAGATCAAATTCTTAACTCATTTCGTTCAAATTTCGTACAGTCACTACGGAAAGAGAAGTGGGAGTTTGTTACTTACGTCTTTACTTTTCCGAAATGAACAACCACGGCTGGCGATCGAGTAAAGGTCAAGGGAAATTCATCAGCCCTAGCTTAAAAGAATGTTTCATTATGAAAATTTCCAAACCGCCCGTGAAATGTTCCAATGTTCAACGATTCCCTAGCCAGGCGTTGATTGATTTACCTACGCGAAGGCAGCGTGAAAAATGTCGCTTATTTCCCTTCAGGAAGCGACCACAGCAGATAACCGTGCCAGGATGCGACGCACCTGATCCTTCTCTATAATTTAGTGACAAATCTGACGAATGACGATAGTGATGATGGTAAGTCAACTCATCATACTCATTACCATCACTCTAGCCTCGTAATGACTTTGTGAGGAGTCTCTTCCTGTGAAAGTGTGATAGATTGAATCAAACTACACCATTGCGATGATTTTTTTTTCATTCACTGATTTTTGTTTTTATTTGTATGCCTCCTTATCACAATAGATCACAACAATTATTTAAATAAATTTTTTTATGGCAGTGGGTTCACATTCCAATTACAGAAGAAGTCATATTCCCATAAAATGATGCACTAAGAAAGTTTCCGTGTTATTTTTTTTTGTTGTATTCGTTTTCTGTTCTGTGTTTTTAAAATCCGATATTTTTTGTTTCATATTGAGCTGAACTATGTTTTAAGTTTTTATTCATCCATATAGTTTTTTTTCCTCCAAGGTATATACACGTACTACGTAGCTATTTGTCCATTCAGTTTCAATATACACTTTGTACAGATATTTTTTATTACAAAAGTCCATTGTTTGTATTTTTTTTAATTTTCCATTATAAATCGCTTTATTTGAGCTTAATTCTATTTGCAAGTTTTACACCTTTTTCATGCAACAGTCTCTGACTACTTAGAAATTAAACCTGCAAGGTTGCTGCATCTTCTCAATTTGTGCTAACTAACGCAATTTCGAGCTACAACAGATAATAATATAGCAATAATATTAGACAATAAAATAAAATTTAATAAAATAAAAACTTTCCTCACTTACGAAAAGAGCGAAAAACAAAACCTAAGATGATTAAACTACCTAAATCTTTGCACTTTTTGACAGCAACCCAACGAACCATAGCGAACGATGGTTCGCGTTTTTATATTTATTTTAGTTTTTGTTGCATTTGTGGGTTGCTGGTGGTTTATGTTACACTCTCCGTTTCTGTTTTCTGTTTCAGTTTGTGAAACGGGTGGGGAGTGGGAACGGGGTTTTTTTTGGGAGCAGGAGCTAGTCATAACTCGTCCATCACAACCGGCAGGAGATCCACAATCCGATAAGCGCATTTTTGCTCCTGTTTTGACAGATTTGGATTTTTCGTTGGCGCTAACGAACAGATAAACGGTTTTCCAGGCGCCTTCGTTTCAGCGTACTATCTGATTTAGGGTGGAGTTGGGGGGTTATACGATACTCCATCGCACTCAATCCAGTCGGTGGCGGTGCGGGCGGGCGTTGATGTTACGCGTTTCGCGAACACTCGCGCTTATTTCCTGTGAGATTGATGGCAAAAATCGGAACGAACACTGCGACACAAATCGTTTGCAACGTAAGATTTTGGAAAACGTGTTCGTTAGTGCCAAAAATTCAATTACCGTGAAATGCTTTTTGCTTGGCTCGGTAGCGGAAAGCGCGATTTTCGTGGTGGAGATGATTAGACAGCTGCTGCTATGGGAGGCAGAGGAGAGGGAGCGATTTTGGAAGGATAAAGACGATGACGATAAATCATTTGTAATTACCATTTGCTTGGGGGGAATTATCGGGGCGTGTGTAAGCGGAGCGAGTGCCGGAGTCGGTTTTCGTAAAAATCTAAAATTGTACTAATATCAAACTTATTGCTGTGTTGTGTTTGTTTGAGAGCGAGTGCCACGCGGGCGCTGGCACGCACGGATGAAGCCAAGTCGGTTTGCTGCCGGGAAGAACCCGTGTTTGATTTGCTTCTTTCGGTTGGGCGATCGATTCGATGAGCGAACGGGCAGCGAGTGCCTTCCGGGTCACTGATGCGACCCAAAAGGCGATGGTGGTGGTGGTTTTATAATTCTGGTTCTAATTTACTGTCCCATTAGTCACGTGTATTCCGATCGCCAGCTCTGTTGGGTGAAGGAAAAGGGAGGTAGGGATTAGTTAATTTACAGAACAATTTGCGCAGCGGCGACTTAGGTATGTATTTCGCAGAGTGATGGTTCAATTCCAGCTGCAGCCGAGGAAACTTATCGTAAAAAGTTAAATTTCTTCACTGGTCTAGTGCAGGGCTAGTAGCGATCACTGCTGTCGAAAATTGTGATTTTAGTGACCATGTTGAAGAAATAAGTGACTTATAGTTGTAAAAATAGTGACCAAAAAGTGACCTAAGAGAAGAAAAGTAGTCGTTATGATGGCACATCAAATAAATGTTTGATGTTTTAGACTTTTTCAATTAGTATCTCATAAGCATTTATGAACGATATGAACCATTAAAGCGAAAGATTCAATTGAAAGTTTATCGCCAAACCCACGGTATTAGTCAGAGTGTCTAGTTTCCTTAAAATTCCTCTAAGTCTCAGAGAATGAAGTAATTTTCTGACTAAGGATATTTTAAAGAAAAGAATGAATTTAAAAATACAAGCATCATTCACACTTTGAACTTGATAGATCCACAGTGGATTAATCTTCAGTGACAAACAAATAAAAAAAAAAAAAAACTACAAGGGACAGCCCTATGGGGTTGTACGCAATCGTGACGTAGGACTACGTGGTTTTATATAATAAATCTTATTTGATAACTGCAGCAGGAGCTTATGTAATGTGCAGGAATAGGAATTTTAGCAGGGTTATCTCTGTTTATAATGTTTAGTATGACGCGCTTGACATAGATGGCCCATAGCAACTCACGAAGAGCTACTGATCCCGATCAATAGCGACTTCATCCTCCTTCTATGGATGCTCATGTGGGCTGCAGCTCACTGCTAGCAGACAGCCTTTCGTTGTGTACTGGAGAACACCACCTCTCACCACGCGGTGATTGAATAAACACCGTTTGGTGAGACCGGATGGAATTCAACTTTGAAATATGTGTTAGGGAAATCGCTTTTCGCAGGGAATCGGTGATAATTTTAATTATCAAAGCAACAGTTGCACATTCGTGCAATTTTCAATGGTGAGTCTTAAATTAAACAGATGCGTAGAAATATTTCTAATCGATTGGTGGTAAAATTCTTTAAATCGGTCCAGGGGCAGCTGTGTTATTAACGTTCAAAATCTATCACAATTTTGTTTCATGTTCCATTTTCGGTTTTCATAAAGTGTACCTCCATATAGAAAACACAGACGTAGTCCTTCGTCAAAATCAGATGCTTGAAATGTTTTTTTTTTGGTTTTAGAACACGCATATTTTCTAGAAATTTTAAATTTGAACTAGTTCTGGAATTAAAAGCTTTAATGGGATGCAGCTGCTTGTGTCCAAAGTGCGGGAGCGATTCTGGGTAACACGCATCAGAAGCCTAGCCAACACTGTCATTCATGAGTGCGTCCAGTGCTTCTGTAGCAGACCGAAGATTTTGGATCAGCTAATGGCTGACCTTCCATCCGAACGTTTATCTCCAGCGCCACCATTCCTGAACGTAGGTGTGGATTCCTGTGGACCGTTCCTGATTAGCTATCCAATCCGCAGATCCTTCCCTAGGAAACACTTTGTGGCAATCTTCGTCTGCCTTGTAACGAATGTAGTCCATCTTGCACTGGTGAGCGATTTAACAAGTGAAGCCTTTCTTGCTGCATTCAAGCGATTCGTGGCACGCAGGGGAAGACCAGCCCTAGTCATGTGAGACAATGCCCTGTACTTTGTTGGAGCCAAGCGTCAGTTGGATGAATTACGGCAGTAATTCATGGATCACGAATTTCACGATTCTGTTGCACGCGGAGCAGTAGAGGAAGGAATAGAGTTTTGCTTCATTCCGGCAAGATCTCCCAATTTCGGCGGCTTATGAGAAGCCGCGGTGAAATCGTTCAAAGAGCATTTCAAGTGCACTATCGATGACAGAGTGCTCCAGCATGACGAAATGTGTACCCATTGGAGTTCGAAGCGTTAACTCCTGGACACTTTCTCGTCCAGCGAACGTTAACAGCGATTGCAGAACCCTCGTTGGAAGATATTCAGCACAATCGGCTGTCTATGTGGCAACGAGGTCAGGACTATGTTCAGCAAATCTGAAAGAAGTGGTCTGTCCAGTACCTTTCCGATCTCCACAATAGAACAAAATGGACCCACAAGCGCGATAACATCTCCATCGGTACCTTGATTCTGTTTAAAGAGGTCAACGTCCCGCCTCTGAAATGGAAGCTAGGACGTGTCACTGACATCCATACTGGCTCAGATGGAAACATTCGTTACTGTCAAAACGCAAGACGGTCTGTACCGAAGGGCAATTTCCAAAATTTGCATTCTACCGATACGTGACAACTTCGATCTCTCTGCTTCCGAGCAAAACTAAAATGCGTTCTGCTCGTGCCTCGGTGCGACCAGAACTAACCACTGTCAACACCATTTTCCAATTCCGAAAATCCGGAACATCTACCAAGTCCAGTCCATCCGTCCGTAATTCGCTGATCCATTATTGTTGATCGGCAACCTGTATCGTTCAGCATGTGTAAAGTTCACGATGCTGTCCTGTCCGTCATTACGATACGTTCCTGACCTTGTCGCAATTCCTTTCCGTAAAGAAGGATGATGATTTTCAACGACGCGTTGATGGATAAGGGGAATCCATGGCACCCCAATCCGATGTTCGTCCAAACTGCAGCATCGTCAGCTCGTTTTGGTGGTCAACACATCCGTTCTTTCAATCAATTCGTCCGTGCGACATGGAATCATCGTGGGTGCTCCGGCGCCCGCGGAGGCCTCCGCTCCAGGCAAGTCGATTTATAGTTTGGTTAAATAATTGAAAAAGCACCCTCTCATTTTTTAGATAATTCTTTCCGTCGCCAAACTGTGGACACACCCGTGTCAGACCTCAAGTCAGTCAGTCGAAGAAGAAGATCGAAGTCATTCCATGCCAAGTTCCGGCAGTAGTTGGGTTGTATCAGTCGTCCAGCAGTAGGCAGTAGTAGCAGTGTAGCAGCATCAAGGAGGAGTAGTTAGAACGGATGGCGTTTAGAACAAGCCTTGGCCTTCATGACGCGCCATATTGAGTAATCCAGCGGATTAAGATCGGGGCTGGATGGCGGCCACATATCCTTCGCCCAGAACGGAAGATGTTCCTGCAACCACTTCTGAGTGCGGTTCGAGGTGTGGCTGATATTGTTGAAGTACAACATTTGGCTTCGGACCGTACTGTTCTTTGATCCACGGAAGAACATACTTACTTAAAATCCCGATGTAGACCTCCGTGTTGACCTTGACACCTTCTGGAATGAACACCGGCCATCGGATGCCACCAATCCAAACACCATAACGCTAGCAGGATGCTTGGTCAGATACACGTTCTAGTGCTCGTCGGTCACGTCTTTTACCGGAAGAGAACTAATATACCGGTCGGTTCGGGAATTTGATACGGGATCGACGGTAAACATGCTCTCGTCGGTGAACAGGATTTCCGGATTTTTTCACTTGAGGAAGTTCAAGATTTTCTTGCATCGTTCGACTCGTAGCTCCCGGATGCGGTTGGTAATCATGTGAGTTTTTTTTCTGTGCCCTCGACTTCACCCCGCAATCTTCCTTTACGATCTTCCGTGCCGTAAAGCCACTGATCCCGTGTTCCTTTGCCATTTTCCTTATTGAACGCACTGGATTCATCCGAATCTTCCTTTTGATAGCAGCGATAACCCTCGAAACCCAAGCTGACCTCGGACGACCTGTGGCCACCTTCGCGGATAGTTGTCCTTTCTTTTCTAGGTCTAAAACTCTTTTGACGGTCCAGCGGGACACTCCCACGGAGATTGAAATGTCTTTTTGCGACATTTGCGCGTGGGACAAATCACGAATACGCTGCCACTTCGTCATGGTGCAACTGTCAAACTATTTTTTTTTCCCTTTGGTTTGTTTTCCGTCGATCTTGTTTTCCGTGCTGAGCACCAATGCTACTGACGCCAGGAAGGCAGCTCCCACACCTGGACCCTACCTATCGACCCATCAACTCATGAACCGGGGACCAACGGCTTTACTTCCCTTCCGAAGGAAGGCGTGATCAGAGATGTTATGCCTCAGAACATCCCGGCGGCGCCGACTGGGATTGAACCCAGGCCTGCTGGGGTGAGAGGTAATCACGCTTACCACTACACCACCGGCACCGCTGACTGTCAAACTAAGTAAATCATGTTCTTTTATACACAGCCTACTACGGTATGAGCTATAGGTTACGTGTATGCAAAGAAAACCAAGGCATTGTATGCACAGGTGAAACGGGAACCTCATTTGTACGATGGTGCAAACATTATCACGCATACGGTAGATTAGATTGAAATCATAGAGATTCCAAGGTGGGCGGTATGTTTAAACATACATAGACGCACCCTACCACCAAACATGTTCCACGCGAAATTGTGCTTCACCTACTCTCACACAAAGCGGTCAGGTCCCTCTCACGATCCTCTCTTATCAGCTAACCTCCATTCTATGAGTAGACTGTAGGTACGAGTGAACAGCTGATAGGGGCAATAAATTAGTTATCCACCAATCGCGCGCATACAGATGTGTTTATCACATGTAGATTTCATGTGAAGCCCGACTGGTTTGAGTAGAATTTCAAGAAACCCTGAATTGAATTAAAATTTAATTTAATTAAAACTCTTAGCAATTTCTAAGGAGCACAACTCCTGTCTACTTCGGAGGAAAATTTAAATGGCATTTTGAGGATAATTTCATAAAAATTGTGGTAGAAAACAAATTCGGAGCATAGGTCCTTGGATTTTTTTTTTAAATACTAAAAGACGGATTACAATTAAATCTGAGAATAACTCCAGGACATCTTCAAAGGAATTCGGGAAATAAATTCAGGAGAGTTTGCAAAACAAATTTTGAGAAGAAATCTAAGGAATTTGTGAGTAGAAATGCCAATGATTTCTTAGGAGACTTTCAATGTGAGTAGAATTCCAAGGGAAGGAGTGAGATTCAAGAGAAAATCTGAAATTAATTCAATGAATATTCATAGAATCTTTCTAAACGGTTTCTTATTGTGGAGAATTTCAAGGAAAACTAATAGAAAATTGAATATGGAGGATAGTTTCATCGAAATATTGAGGAATATTTCAATGGAAATCTCCGTTGAATATGGAATGGACTATTCTAAGGTCTTCAGAACTACTTGAAAGTTCCCAATTTTTTCCCGAAGTTAATGAAACTACCTTGAAGTTCTTTCGCACTTTGAGAAACTAGCCTGAGGCTCACAAAACTTCTCATCAAATTCTTAAACTTTCCTGAACTTTATAGGACTGCCTAAAGTTTCCTCGATTTTTCTAACGATCATGGATCTCCTCTAAAGGTTTAAAAAATTTATGAAGCTCTCTAAACTTCTTTAAAATTTATGTGACTTCTCTAATGTTAACGGAACTACTTTGAGGCTCTCTGTTCTTTTCTGAAATTCTCAAAACTTCTCTAAAGTTTTTGCAGTTCTCATGAAGCTTGTTGTTCTGCGCTGAGTTTAATTGAACCATCCTAAAAATGTTTAAGCTGCCGTAAACTTCTGAACTCATGCGATGACCTCAATTAACATTTTAAAGTCTCTTAAGTTATCTGAAGATCTAGGAACTATTTAAAATTTCCCACCTGGAACTAATGGAACTGACCTCCCCCTGAAATTCCTACAATTTTCGGAGCTTACTAAACTTCTTTCGAATGCTCCCGCATTTTGCTAATGTTCATACAAAAATCCTAAAGTTCACAGATCTCCCCTTCATAGATTTCAATGAAGTTCTGATGACCAGCAAGTTTTTCTAAATTTCTGGAACTTTTGTGCTCCCGCAATTTTTATGGAATCAGAACGAAATAATTAATATATGATTTTCACCAGGCTTGCCTAAACTCCTCGAACTCAGATTATGCGGTTTAGATGCTCATTCATCGTGAGCTAGTTCATCCCTCACATATAAAGAGCAATGATGTCAAATCCAAAGAGCGCTAAAGAGCTCGGGCTCAGATTGATGCTCAAGCTGGACTTCGACAAACACACATAAGGATGATTGCCTAATTGAGAAGATCGAAAAATAAGATTCGCCTGGGAGTTTCGTTAGTTCTACCAATGCCTTTCCTAACGAATCTAATTCAATCATTTCGGGTTTCCGCTTTTCCTAGTAGAGTAACCACCCTGTTTCATCCCACTAAATTCATCACAAGGAGTATACCGTGTCGAATTTTGTAACAATCCTCGGCCGTCAGTGGGAACCAAATGCTACGATCAACTAATCATAAATTTAAGAACTCACCATCGAATTCAGCCCGAGATGGTAGGACTGCGGATGTGCCACTGCTCCCGTTCCCAGCGGTGCCCCACTGCTGAACCCGTTCTGCAGACTACTCGACGATCCCAGCGAGCCCAGTCCGGTCGCGTACCAACCGCTGTGCATGTGCGAATGGGCAGGATGCAGTCCACCGGAGAGATGCGCGTGTTGTCCTGCGGAAGGAGAAAGGAATGGCGTCGAAAGTGACTCATCAGCAACCTGAAATGCTTGTAAATTGCTTGAACGGTCGCAACTTACCCATAGACGACGGGAACGGGCCCGGGAAAGATTTGTTGTGGTCCAGCGGGTTCATGAGATCACCGAACGAAAAGCTATAGCCGGGGGTGGATTTCCGTTTTTTCGATTTGGCCGTCAGTTTCCGATTTCTCGTCTGGATACCTTCCTTCTTCATCGTGAGCGGTCGATCCACCTGAAAGCAGGGAGCGGGAGAGAGGACGATCATCATCTAGTGCAGATCTATTGGTGAGAAACAGACCCCATCTGCTGCTGCAGTCAAGCAAAAAGGGGAAAATGGGGGGACATATTGAAACGTGAAATCAAACTTTGCTTCAGTTTGTTTGATGTTCGATATTTTAGTTGACAATATTTGCATCAGTATGATTGTCAATACCAGTGTCTGTTTTTATCATTTCCCACAAGGAGTAACGCTTCAACCCAGTGTAGAATTGCGTTTGTTTGGAAAATCTTCACTGTTACGTACGAGCGAAATGAACAAATGAGTTCATTATACGCATTTGTTGATATTATCCAGTGCTTGATTATCCAACCCAAAATTGTCTAAATCAAAATCGATCCTCAAAAGCAAAATAATAATATTAATTTTGGGCAAAATTATTATTTTGATTATTGTCGACCCCAGAACCTAAAACCTGGAGAGTATCGTCAATTCAACATGAAGCAATAATTTTCCATCGATCAAAGTCATCCCCACCAAGATGAAGACGAACATTAATATTGAAAACAACGGAGGCGATTATGAAAATCCAGCTACGAATGAAGAAAAACAAATTTTGACTTCAAATAGGATTGGGCGATCTTGAATCGATCTTTGGGAAATCGATCTCTTGGACTTCGTTATTTAGTTTTTGGGATCGATTTTATTTTTAAAACATCGTAAAAATCGATCTTTCCGTTCGAATCTTCAAAGAAACACACGAATGTCATTTTGTGCACCTAAATTTAATGAACATACCCTCAAAATCAGCATCTGCAATATTCACTCTCAATGTTGTATAAAATAGGGCTGAGAATGTAAATTTGATGTTACCTTTTTCATTATTACGCATTATGATAGTTCGATTGATAACGCATCAGTTTGCATAAAAAGATGTTCTATGGGATGATGGAATCATAATGATGATATTATGATTATATCATAACATGACAATTTCGCTTCATGAGAGTCGCAATAAGCAATTTTACCAGTTTCTCTCACTCATTGGGCACATTGCTGATTGGGACTCTATGGCAGGTTTTATGAGAGCAACACATTCCTTAGAATCTCTTATTCTAACCTACAAATACAAAATATCATTGTTATTATTATATTTTTTATACTAAATTAATGGATGAAACCATGATTGACAACAAAGACTGCAGTTACACCAGGGGGTAAGTCACTCTGCCATCTTGTGTCTGTGCTTATTGTGGGTCATGTGTGTTTTTGGGTGTCGGAAGGTGTTTCTTCGAGTCGATCAAGCTGTCAAAACTTCAACGGAAAAAATATGCTTACTGGCAACCATATCCTCGACCATAACAAAACGCTGAAAATGACGGACTAGCGACTCCTTTGCCTAATGCAACAAAGTACATCACTATCGAAGATATTCGAGGAAAATGGGAAAGGCGAACTAAAACAGCTAGTTCAATTCATAAAAATGTACAACATGTGAACGGCACGCGGTAGTGATCTAGAACCCCAAGCACCTTACTGTTGCTGTGACACTCTCAACATATCAAAATGAATTCATCGGAGCATTCTAACGGATCCAGACAGCCTTTTCCACTTTTTGAAATTGTAAATTATTTAGTCAAACATAATCCTGGTTGAGACGTTCACATTTTCACTACGTACAACGACAGAGGCCACTATACGACCACTCATTCTCAAGGATCATCCAATGATGAGCCTGAATTTATAAAGAGACGACATGTCAAAATTGGAACAATCGATTGTCTGTCAAAGTCATAGGAAAAGTCATTCCAAACGAGCAAAAGACCTGTCAAATGAATAAGTTGTCGCCTCTTTATAAATTCAGGCTCTTTACATCCAACCATTCCTGCTCCACAGTTGAGATTGATTACATTGCGCAAAAGAAAAGAACTCGCATTCACACGCACAAAAGTGCCCAGGCCCATCGGATTTCAACGAATCACGAAACGCTGCATTGCCAACTGTCTACATATCAGCATCTAGCTATCTTTTTCAACCTTAATCCTCGCCATAATCAATGCACTCTCGTAGGCCCGATCATATCCACACACTTAGAAAAAAATCATGTAAATTTAAGTGCTCTGAGACTGACATATACGAGCGTCAATTTTGACATAAAGTAGAGTCATAATAGACACGAAATTCAACTCAATCAAACGTACTTTTCGTCGAGTAATTTACTTTTCAGTCTCGGAGCACTTAATTTTACATGAAATATTTATTTACGTCTGATCCTTTATGTCAAAGATGGATTCCGTCACGTGTAAAATTAGTTATTTCTAAGTGGGCAGTCATGAATATTCCAAGTCGCGGAATACGGTGTACGTGTCACTTCCGTATCCCGAGTGGTTTTCTCCATCGAAGTCCACTCATAAAATAAATCACATAACCAGTGGAAAATATCTATGTGAATTTCACATAACTTTCATGTGATCCCATAATTGGAAATTACACCACTAAATCACATGAATGCGCATGAATGTTATGTGTCCAATGAAATCTATATGATTTCTCATATAGAATTTCTAATGCTATGTGATATTCAGGTAAAAATAATTGTTTTTGTTTTTTGAAAAATACTATGTGCGTTCCTAATAGAAACTAGGTGAAAACTTTTTTCTTTGTCCGGTGCAATTCAACAAACCCACTGCCGTGGTTCTCTCTCATTATTGGCAGTGATGCCAGAATTGATGAAAAAATTAGCATTCCATGTGACGGAAGGGTGTTTGAAGTGTGTCGAAGTGTGTTTTTGTGGGTGTTAACTCAAGGTGGCAGAGTGACTTACCCCCTGAGTTACACCAATTAATGTATTTCTATATAAATTCTTCCGCTGTATAAACAAATCTCTCAAAAAACACGAGTAACTGAAAATTGAAATATGTTCTTTATGATATTTAATTTCAATTTTCAAAATGTGCCGTAAAGACTTGCTATTAAATCCATAAATCCGGACACTTTTAAAAGTTTATTTTTACACATTAATCGTCCTTCGCTCATTTTCAACTTCTATTCAATGTTCATACTTCCGTACACTGATGGAAAAAATAAAAAATAAATCCAAAATCAGGAACGGCCTAAAATCACTGCTGATCTTGAGATCAGCAAAATCACAAAAAGAAAATCACGGATGATTTTAATCTTAGCTGATCTTGAGAGTAGCAAAATCACAAAGCAGAAAATCAAGGCTGATTTTAATCTTAGCTGATTTTGAGGTAGCAAAACACTGAACGGAAAATCAATATTTATTTATTTATTTGTCGTCAATCAGTGTAGACCGTTTAACAATAGTGCTGTTGCCTTAAACGCTGTCCAGACTGGAGAGTTATAACATGTTATAACGGTTGTCAAATAATTGCAACACAGAAACCACCATCAAGATAGCGCTATAACATGTTATAACTCTGTAGTCTGAACGTACTATTAAACGCTGTCCAGACTGGAGAGTTATAACATGTTATAACGGTTGTCAAATAATTGCAACACAGAAACCACAATCAAGATAGCGCTATAACATGTTATAACTCTGTAGTACTATTACATGCTATTTTAAAACATACGTTTTATTTGAAAATAAATAGCTTGGTATTACAATCAAAGTAAAAAAACCAACGGACGGACCAAAATCCAATATGGTGGCACCTGGACAGGGAATATGCATCTAAACCCATCCAATATGGGTATCTACGGAATGGGCTCGATAAGTGGAAGTGGAAAATTGACATCTGCCGCCAGTTAGGAATCCAATATGGCGGACCAAAATCCAATATGGCGGCCCCCGGACAGGGAATGTGCATCTAAACCCATGCAATATGGGTATCTGCGGAATGGGTTCGATAAGTAGAGGTGGAAAATTGACATCCGCCGCCATTTAGGAATTCAAGATGATGGCCAAAAATCTAATATGGTGGCCCCTGGACAGCAAATATACATCTAAACCCATGCAATATTGGATTTTGGTCCTCCATCTTGGATTTAAATATGGGTTTAGATATATATTCCCTGTCCAGGGGCCGCCATATTGGATTTTGGTCCACCATATTGAATTCCAAAATGGTGGCGGATGTCAATTTCCACTTCCCTTTATCGAGCCCATTCGGTAGATACCCATATTTCATGGGTTTAGATGCAAATTCCTTCTCCAGGGGTCACCATATTGGATTTTGGTCCACCATATTGGATTCAAAAATTGCAGCGGAGGTCAATTTTCCACTTCCCCTCATCGACCCCATTCCGTAGATACCCATCTTGCATGGGCTTAGATGAATATTCCCTGTCCGTGGGCCACCATATTGGATTTTGGTCCGCCATATTGGATTCCAAAATGGAGACGGATGTTAATTTTCCACTTCCACTCATCGAGCCCATACTGGATATACCCATATTGCATGGGTTTAGATGCATATTCCCTGTCCGGGGGCCGCCATATTGGATTTTGGTTCGCCATCTTAAATTTCAAAATGGCGGCGTATTTAATTTTTTCACTTCTCCTAATCGAGCCCATTCCGTAGATATCAATATTGCATGGGCTTAGAAGAATATTCCCAGTCCGGGGACCACCATATTGGATTTTGATCTACCATCTTGGATTTCAAAATGGCGGTGGTTGTCAATTTTCCACTTCCCTTCATCGAGCCCATTCCGTAGATACCAATATTGCATGGGCTTAGAAGAATATTCCCTGTCCGGAAGCCACCATTTTCGATTTTGGTTCGGCATCTTGGATTTGTGGAAGCCATCTTGGGTTGAAATCCACAATTTTAATTTAATCCGGAATGTTGACTTGAATTTCTGAATGCCCAAACTCTAGAATTTAACATATCTTCTAATCCTATGATTTTCGATGATTTTGATCTTGGTTGATATTGATGCTGGTTGATTTTGGGAATCGAAAATCACGGCTGATATTGGCCGAAAATCACGTGTGATTTTCGAGGTGATGATGGCTTGTGATTTGAGATGATAGTGATCTTGAAACA